CAGCAGGAGCAGCACGAACAGCACCAGCACGTGGGGAGATTGCTGCAGCAACTGTCTCTGTTATGATGCTGCTGAGTAGATGCTGCCCTTTCTGCAGCAGGCGCGACACGGCGTCGGCTCGCGAAGCACTGCTGCTGCTGCTGCTGCTGTTGCTGCTGCTGCTGCTGTTGCTACTACTGCTGCTGCTGCTACCGAGTCTCCCTCTTCGGTACCCGCCAGCGCCTGCTGCAAGGGTATACACTCGGTCTATCAGTTTGCTGCAGCTGGCGGTGCTGATATGCGACTTGGCAATCTGCTGCTGCTGCTGCTGCTGTTGCTGCTGCTGCTGGAGAGGCTGCCGGTGCGCTAGCTGCCTTCGGCCTAGCTCATTGCTGCTGCTGCTGCTGTTGCTGCTGCTGCTGCTGCAGCTGCTGTTTGAGCTGAGAGCTACACTAACAAAGGGAGCCCCCACATCGACAGCAGCGCCGCTGCTGATTGCTTCGGTGGGTAAGCAACTCCTGCTTTTGCTGCTTCTACTGCTGCTGCTGCTGCTGCTGCTCCTGCTGCTGTTTCGAGGTCTGCTTTCCCCCTGCTGCCTTTTCATTGAGGGCTTCCGAGGTGTTGAAGAAAGAGGTGCTGCTGTTGTTGCTTCAGCTGCTGCTGCTGCTGGTGTTGCTGCTGATTTCGTCTCTGTCTTTGCTGCAGGAGCCGCAGCAGCAGCACAACCCTGCAGGGGATGGATGCTATTTCGTTGAGGAGTAGCGGTTGGTGCTATCAATGACACCTGCTGCTGTTGCTGCTGCTGCTGCTGCTGCTGTTGCTGCTGCTGTTGTTGCTGCTGTTGCTGCAGCAGCTGCAGCTGCTGTTGCTGCTGCTGCAGCTGCTGCTGCAGCTGCTGCAGCACGTCATTCCGGCGCTGCTGCTTCCTCCTCTGGGCACCAAGTTGGTTCCGGAGTATCTGCTGCAGCTGCTGCTGCTGCAGCCCCGGCAGCAGCAGCTGCTGCGGCAGCGGCACATGCAGAACAGCAGCAAGCTGCTGCAGCAGCATAGCGAAGCAAGTTAACGACCACAGCCTCCACCTCAGTGGCTTCTGGGGGCCCCCAGGGGCCCCACAATTTTCTTTGCTTTTCTCTGCAGCTGCAAGCAGAACAGACAACAACACCAAATGCTGCTTGCAGTTATTAATTCTTGCGAGTGCTGCTGCTGCTACTGCATCTCATAGGCTTGCGGCTGCTGCTGCTGCTGCTGCTGCTGCTGCTGCTGCTGCTGCTGCTGCTGCAGCGGCTCATAGGTTTGCTGCTGCTGCTGCTGCTGTTCCAGCAGCTCGCAGGCTTGCTGATACTGCTGGTGCAGCACATAGGTTTATTGCTGCTGCTGCTGCTGTAGCTCATTGGTTTGCTGCTGCTGCTATTGCAGCTGATAGGTTTGTTACTGCTGTTGCTGCAGTTGGAGCTGTTTTTTTTCTGTTGGCTGCTGCTGCTGTTGCAGTTGATAGGGTTGGTGCTGCTGCTGCTGCATGAGCATCTGCTGCCTCTACAACACTGAGACACCCCAATTCTTTGCTGCTGTTTTAATCAATTAGAGGCAGCAAATACAAAACGCCTTGAAAGAGCTGCAGCAGCAGCAGCAGCAATAGCAGCAGCAGCAATAGCAGCACCAGGAGCAGCAGCAACAACACCAGCAGCATCAGCAGCAGCACCAGCTGCAACAGCAGCTGCAACAATAACAACAGGACCACCGGCAGCAACAGCAGCAGCAACAGCAGCAACAACAGCAGCTGCAACAGCAGCAGCAGCAGGTGCAGCGGCAGCAGCAGCAGCACCTTGGATTACTTAATAGCATTCTTTTGTCTCCTCTCTATTCCACTCCCTTCAGACAAAGTATGTGTCGTTTTATTTTATTATATTTTTAATTTTATTATATTATTTTAACTCTATACTGCAGTATTTATTTACTTATTTTATTTTAATTTAATTAGTTTTATTTATTTGCTGCTAATATTTCGCCGCTTACAAATAAAGGCTTCCCTAAACTCGATCCAAGTGGCCTCTCCTTCATCAGCAGCAGAAGCTGCTGCTGCTGCTGCTGACGTTGCTGTTGCAGCAGCAGCAGCAGCTGCTGCTGCTGCTGTCTGCCCTGAAGGGGCGTGCAGCAGCCAGCTGGCATTGAAAAGCTGCAGCAACTGCTGCACTCGCTGTCTCCTCAGCCGCTGCAGCGCCGCCTCCATTGCTGCGAGTCTCCTCAGTGTGCGTTCTTCTGGAGCTGCTGCTGCTGGTGCTGCTGCTGCTGCTGCTGCTGCTGCTGCTCGTCTCGCTGCTGCTGCAAGTGAAGGGGAACTGCTCCAGGGCCCACCAGCAACGGCAAGGCTCGCAGACACTACAGAAGCTGCAGCAGCAACGGCAGCCTTGGATGATGCTGCTGCTGCTGCTGCTGCTGCTGTTCCTGCATCCCTTGTGTGCAGATCTCTTGCTGCTGCTGCTGCTGCTGCTGCTGCTCGTCGCGCTGCTGCTGCTTTGTTGCTGCTGCTCGTGATAAGAGGGGGACACCTTTCTCCTGAGTCTCTCTTCTTTGCTGCCGCCCTGCTGACGCTTCCATTCCAGCCTCGGCAAAACTGCTGCAGCGTGCTGCTGCTGCTGCTGCTGCTGTTGCAGTGGCTGCTGCTGCTGCTGCTGCAGTGGTCGTTTTTCTCCAGCTCAGCTGCTGCCTGAAGGAGACGAAAGAGGGATTGGCGCTGCTGCCTTCGTAAGCGCAGCAAGCAGGCGTGCGTGTTCTCCGCTGCAGCAGAATCAGCAGCAGCAGCAGCAGCAGCAGCAGCAAAGGAAATGGCTTGCGGTGTATCTACAGTTCCCTTCCCTGTTGGCTTCTCCTGGCGACTTCTTTGCTTTGCAATAAAAGTAAATAAAGAGACAAAAGCATTAATGTACACTCCACAGCAGCAGCAGCAGCAACAACAACAGCAACATCAATAACAGCAGCAGCAGCAGCAGCAACAGCAACAGCAATAACAGCAACAGCAACGGCAGAAGGTGCTGCTGCTGTTACTGCACATATGACCAGAGACGTCTCTGCTTTCGCTTTCTGCAGAGCAGCCGCTCATAGAAAGGCAGCTTAGAGGGTTTAGGGTTTAGGGTTTAGGGTTTAGGGTAGGTTGCCCTCGCGTGCATGCACGGTTTTTTCTTTGTTGCAGTGCAGCAGCAGACACACCTTCTTCTAGTTGTCTCTCTTTAAGGCTCCGTAGCTGCCGCAGCTGCTGCACTCGTTGCTGCTTCCGCTTCAGCAGCAGCTGCTGCTGCTGCAACAATATCTTCCGCTGCTGCTGCTGCTGCCTTTCCTGGGGAAGCGCAGCAGCCTCCTCCTCTGGTCTGATATTATTAAATAACTGCTGTTGTGAACGCATGCGTTGCTGCAGCAGAGGCTCGAGTTGCTGTTGCAGCTGCTGTTGCAGCTGCTGCTGCTGCTGCCGCAGCAACGGGAGCCGCCACTTTTGCTGCTGCAGCGCTGCACTGCAGCAGCACGAACATATCAGTCGCCGGAGGAAGCAGCCGCAGGATCGACACCTCGCAGCAACAAATTGCTGCTGCTCCTGCTGCTGCTGCAGCTGTGGCGGCTGCTGCTGGTTCTCTTGCTGCACTCTTTGCTGCTGCTGCTGCTGCTGCTGCTTCTGCTGCTTTTTATGGTGTCCGATGACTGACTGAGGCAGCTCGAATAGCTGCGCATCGGAGAGATCTCTGCAGCAGCTCTCCAAGGACACTTGCTGCTGCTGCTGCTGCTGCTTCTGCTGATATTGCAACTCTTCCAGTTGCTGCTGGTGTTGCTGCTGCTGCTGCAGTGGCGAGTGCGTCTGCTGCTGCCTCTGAGGCTGCAGTAACTGCTCGTGCTGCTGCTGCTGTTGAGTAGCGGTTTGCTGTAGCTGTTGCAGCTGCTGCAGCAAATCGAGGGAGGGTGACGGCACCTGCAGAAGCATACAGTAGGCCTCCAGCTGCTGCTGTTGCTGCTGCTGCAGCAGCAACTGCTGCTCATGCCGCAGCCTGATAGCTTGCTGCTCCTCCAATTGCTGCTGCAGACGCAAGATCTCACTTTGTCGCTGTTCTAAGAGGCGAGCAGTAGCCGTGTGCACAACGGGCTGCTGCTGCTGCTGCTGGGATTGTCGCTGTTGCTGCTGCTGCTGCTGCAGTTGTCGCTGTTGTTGCTGCTGCTGCGGTTGTTGCTGTTCCTGCTGCTGCTTCTGCAACTCTTCCTGCTGCTCCATGACGACTTCCCCCTCGAACGAATGCGGCCATTCACAAGTCTTCCCTGCTGCTGCTGCTGCTGCTGCTGCTGCTGCTGCTGCTGCTGCTGTGGGGCCCCAGCAGGATCTCAAGGGTGGCTTGTGAATGGACACCTGGGGCCCCCCACGTATTGCTGCTAATTCATATTGATAGATAGAGAAAATCTTTGTGTTTTGTTTCTCCTTCAATTTACAATTAAAATGAAGCTTCTGCATGCATGCAGCAAAACCCCCAAAGAACGGGCTGCGGTCCACTGGTCGTTCAGGCTGCTGCTGCTGCAGCAGCAGCAGCTGCTGCAGCTGCTTTTGCTGCGGGAGCAGCTGCTGCACCAGCAGTTATCCTTGCGCACAGCACTGCAAAAACTTTTTCTTTTATTTATAAAATGCAGCTTTATTATGCATTTAATCAATGGGAAGCCTCTGGTGCAGATATTTGAAGTGTACAGACACCGCAGCAGCAGCCGACTGCGTGCAGATTGCTAGGACCTCTAATTACGTGTGCATGCAAAATATATATATTTAAATATTTAATATTAATATTTTAAATATTTTTAACATTTGATTCTTCCTATAAAACAAAAATTTCTTATTTGCTGCTGCTAACTCCCTCAGGAGGCTGCTGCTGCGGCGGTTGCTGCGCCACATCGTTAAACCCTAAACCCTAAACCCTAAAGCACTATATAGCTTTTCAGTTGGCTTTGTATCATCTATGCAAATCCAAACCTTAAACCCTGCCCTCATATATCTACGTGTGTACTGCGGTGCACTCAGCTAACTCAACAGCTCCAAACCCTAAACCCTAAACCACTAACCCTTCAGAAGAAGAGCGAGGCCTGGATTGCGATGAAAGAAGTGCAGCCACACTGCGACACTCCCCACTAAGGGTTTCCCTCTGCTATCTAAGGCATGCTTTCGGTTTAGGGTTTAGCTAGGGTTTAGGGTTTCCCTAGGGTTTATACTCCGCGCTGAATCGTAAGACCATCAACCAGCAAAACAATAATACTCTTGCTGCAACTCTAGTGCCTAGACAGCCCTCTTTACTTCTACTCACTGCCGTTGCTGCTGCTGTTGCTGCTGTTGCTGCTGACCCGAGGTGCGTAGTTGATAAGTAAAGCAGTCAGAAGAAGAAGAGCTCTCGCTTTCATACAATCAAACGGAGATAAGCAGAAAAGAGATTATCTCTTCGGCTTCCCCCTAAGCAGCAGATCTGCTGCTGCTGTTGCTGCTGCTGTTGCTGCTGCTGTTTGTTTTCAAGCGAGAAGCAAAACTTCTTCTGTGAAGTAGAGACAGTGCATGAGGGAGAGACCCCAGCTGTACGTACACCCGACAACCTGTGGGGCCTCCAACCCAACTCACGCAAACCCTACAAACTCTCAGAGACATTAAAAGCCTCTCCTTCCCTGCACTTTCATTCTTCCCGTTTGCATGCATTTGCTGCTGCTGCAGCAAGCCCTACCACTATAGCAGCAGCAACAGCAGGTGCTGCTGTTGCTGCGGCAGCAACAGCAAATGCTGCTGCTACAGCGGCAGCAACAGTATGTGGTGCTGCTGCATCGGTAACAACAACAGGTGCTTTGCTGCAGCAGCAGCAGGTGCTGAGCTGCAGCAGCAGCAGCAAGTGCTGCTGCCCCCAACAAAACTCACGCCAGCGGAGACGGTGTTGTATTGTCTCCTACGCGGTGTATGGGGAGGTTGAGGGTTTACAATTTTGAAGTTTTATCTGCTGTATGATTATATACAAACAGATGCAAACCCTCGTGCTTCTGCTGCTGTAGGCTTCCTGCCTGCCTGGTGTCCCTGCAGCAGCAGCTGCTGTTGCTGTTGCTGTTGCTGTTGCTGCTGCTGCAGCAGCAAGCGCAGCAGCAGCAGCAAGTGCAGCAGCAGCAATTACAGATCTTCATCATCGTCTTCAATTGCTGTATTTACTGCTTCCTGCAACTCGCGCTCTGCCTGCTGCACCAGTGATGGGTCTATCATAATCTCTGGGGCTTTCGCATGCTCTCCTGCAGCAACAAAATAATAATATATTTAAATAAATAAATATATATATAAATAATACAAACACAAACAATAAAAACATATGCATAGACACTGCAACATACATACAACACACAATGCTAAGTAAGCATCAAACAGCAATCAAAAAAGTATATATACAAACATCTGCAACATAAAATAAGCAATAACAACCCTAATAATATTATACTATATCTAATTAAATGCAAATAAAGAGATTATATAATTGAAATAATAATAACCCTTTTACTACGCCGGTGTACGTACTACTGGATAGACAAAACAGAAAAAAAGCAAACATTGTGCGACTACCACCACTACCACTGCTGCTGCTGCTGCTTCTGCTTCTGCTGCAGCTGCAAGTGCAGCAGGAGCAGCAGCAGCTGCTGCTTCTGCTGCTGTTTGTTTGCAGCATACCTGTGAAAGTAAGCGATGCCTGATTGGTGAGTCTCCTGGCTAACCAGAGAAAAGGCTTCTCAAAGTTATAATTAGAACGAGCGCTGATATCATAATACTGCAGATTCTTCTTTCTATGAAACTGAATAACTCTCGCCTTCACTTGTCTATCTTTTACGTCTACCTGCAGCAAAAACAAAAACAAAAAGAAAGAAACAAAGAAATTAACTCTCTGCATGCAGTTTGATATCAAATTATATTTTTATGTTCCGCCTAACCCACAGCTTTATCAGCGTACTCATCGTCATTATATTTATATGTATTATTTTATATATATGTTCATTTACATGTATATATATATGTATAGGCATACTGTCATGTCACTAAGGATATACACATGTATGCATATATGCAAGCATATATACATATATATATATATATATATATATATATATATATA